TCACTGCTAGGGCGCTTTCCCTAGCAGTTTTTCCCTCTTTAGTAGCAGGGTGCCTTAGTGCTCTGCCACAACTTGGAAGGAAAACAAAGAAAAAAAATTGCTGCCACGTTAAGTTTATACTACATGGGTTAGTTTTATCACAAATAAAAACTAATACCAAAATTAACATATTACAAAATGCAGTAAATTACCAAGCCAGGAAGAAACTAACTGATGCCCTTATTGATCTTTGGAGAATGGTATAGAGGTTGCACAAAGTTGTTCTGATCATAAACAAGGAGCAGTGGTTTCAAGTTGCAGCAAGGGAAGTTTAGGTTATATATTAGAAAGAATTTTCTCACTAGAAGGGTAGTAAAATACTGGAACAGGTTATGCAGAGAGGTGGTAGAAGCTCCATCATTGGAGGTTTTCAAAACCTGGCTAGACAAAGCTTTGGCTGGGATGATCTAGTTGGGGATGGTCCTGCTTTGAGCAAGGGGTTGAACTAGATGACTTCCTGAGGTCCCTTCCAACTCTTTCTATGATTCTATGCCAGGAAGCTCCAAGGCATTCCACCTGTATCAGTTAGAAGCAGGTGTAATAATTCAGGGTCTGCTTTGAGGAATACTCAGGATAACATCTTACACCAGTTGGTGAAAAGATAAGAAACCATTCTACCAGTGTCTTCTTACATCTGCACAGCATGGCCAGGTTAATCACCTACCAGCACACAAGCAGAGATGTAATGATGCAGCCAGTTGCCCAGGACACCTACCACACACAGGGGAGCAGCAAATTCCAGTTGCTGCCACATCACACGGCTGCAGCAACAGCTATTTTTCTCTGGCCACCCCTCCAATTTGGTGCCTGTTGTGTCTGCTCCAGGCACCCTGCCCTAGTGCTCAAGAAGATCTGGTGACAACATTTTACCTGGGTCTTCTGTGGGTAGGTGAATGAAGAAACTTTCCTGAATCCAGTTCAGCTATTTACACACCAAAATGAGTCCCATGTCTGTCAGTATAACATTGAAACATATGACTGTCCATCACTTTTTGATCATCACATGACAACCTAAGGTACAATGAGTTTACAATAGTGGGTGATTTTGAGGGCATCTGCTTTTAGAGCAGAAGAATGACCATCAGCATAACTAGACCATGAAAATCATATTATATATTGAAAGTAGTTGATTCTTTATTAACAAATTTCACATAAAATGACTAATCTGTGATTTTTTTAAAGTCACAAAAAGGAGCTGTGCATATGTTTTATTTTATTTTTTAACCATGTTCTTGGCTCAGGTGCCCACATGCTGTTGCACAGTTGCATACTGGAAGGTTCATTGTTCTGCATACTATGCACCATATGAATCTGTCCTGAAAGCTAAAAATCGATGGGGAAAGAGAAAGGAAAAATAATACTGTGCAAGTACAAGTAGCTCTGGACAGAGTGCAAGGAACAATTAAGCTGAGTGATTAATTCAAATAGTTTAACTATTTATGACATATTTGCTCTTGGTGGAGTAAAAGTAATATTGTAGCCATGATGATCCATAATTATTTTAGGCACAAGAATTTTTAGGGTAATATTTTATTGTAGAGGTTCCCAACCACCGGGCTGTGAAGGGTTGGCTGCCAGGTCACAGCATAATCCCCCCACTCGGACTCCCTTCCTTCCACCCAGCCGAGCAGCTTCCACTGCCAGCAGTGACGCGCAGGGTTAAAGCTGGGGAGGCGGGGCAGCCCTGGGAAGGAGGCAGCTGGCTCCGTGCACCCCATCCTGCTCCTGTGCCAGGCCGCAGGTTGGGAACCACTGTTTTATTGGACCAACTATACAGTTGTGATAAAGTTAGACATAACCTGATGAAGAATGTCTAGCATTTGAAAGCTCGTCTAATTTTATCCCAACTATGTAGTTGGTCCAATAAAAGATGTCACCCAAAGAAATTGTTGCCTCTTGCATATTCTCTCTTAGCAGAGTTTCTGGAAATGACATTGTTTTACCACTGATCCACTGAATAGAAAAATGTAGTAAAGCTAAACCTTGCTAAAGTTCTGCCCACCTTGGAAACCACTGATTCACAGGTGATGAATTGTTCTTTCATGTAGATCTTGTATTACATGGTTATTATGAAAATGAAAGGGCAGAACTACTGAACAGAGAACTAATCAGGCTTGAACAAGTTTCAATAAATCAGAGCAGACAGTTGTATGACTGTAAAATTTCATCAGTTAGGACCAGGAATTGCAAAATCATTTATTATTTTGAAAGCCACATGTTCTCTCTTGTGCTGAATATTGTTTTATATTCAGCACAACCCCCAGCTCATGGGCTAGGTCTGGCCTGCGGTGCTGTGTCATTTGATGCACTGGGCTCCATGCATCTAGAAATCTGGTGACGGGGAGTGATGGCAGCATTGCCTGTCCCCTGCCAAATTTCTGAACCTGTGCAAAGCCTGGTAGGCTAGATAGTATGGCCCTGAGGGCTAAATTGGACACAAGGGTCTGTAAGGACATGGGGCCTGATAGAGGCACGTGGTACCCAACCCAGTGCACAGACCCTGTGATAGCTCTGGCCTGAAATGTTGAGCACCACTGCTTTATAGGAGAGAGAACAACAGAAGGAAGCCAAGTACCCCAGTTCCCCTAAATATTAACTTGGGCAATAGTGGTGTAACTAGGTAGCCTACTGGTATAACTGTGTACATAATTGGACATACAGAACTGTGAGCAGAATTGCTACAAGATAAAAGTTCTATTGGTGAAGATGCTAACTAATGGAAAAGAAACCAGGCAAACAGAAACTGAATGAGTCCTGTCAAATCTGAATTAATTCTACAATTTTCCTTTTTACATTGAGCCATAAGAGTTTAATTGAAGTGTCTAAAAATATTTCTTTATCCATAATTGACTGCTTTTATCCAAAATATCAGGGCCTGTATGCTGTTGGGAATTTCCTACCAAGTGAAGAGAATGTGTTTCATCAGAACCTGCACAGAGAACCGTTAAGGTCTTTAACAGACCTTAGTCAAGATGCCAACAGAATTTTACCGGGTAAAAATGGTGGCAGCAGCGACGGAATTTCTTCTCACCATTCTGAGAGTATCTTGAATAGAAACCATAGAGATTCTGGATCCCTAACTAACATCAAGAGAGCAAATGCTGATGTAGAGATCATAACTCCACGGAGCCCCATGGGAAAGGAAAATATGGTTACCTTTAGCAACACTTTGCCAAGAGTTAATACACCAGCACTAGAAGATCCAGCTCGACGAAATGCAACAATTCATGCATCAATGGACTCTGCCCGTTCCAAGCAACTTCTTTCTCAATGGAAGAACAAGAATGAAAGTCGAAAGTTGTCTTTACAGGTAATAGAGACTGACTCTGGACAGTCACCACCAAGAACTATTGAAATAAGATCCAGCTCTGAGCCATCTAGAGTGGGCGTTAATGGGGATCATCATGTTCCCACCAATCAGTATCTAAAAATTCAGCCTGGTAGTGTACCAGGCTGTAACAATACTGGTCTTTCAGGTGGGCCCAGAGTCTCTATTCAGTCACGCCCAGGGTCTTCACAGCTAGTACATATTCCTGAAGAGACACACGAAAATATAAATACATCTCCAAAAAGTAGTTCAGCTAGAGCAAAATGGCTGAAAGCTGCAGAGAAGAGTGTTGCATGTAGAAGCAATAGTCAGCCAAGAATCATGCAAGTGATAGCCATGTCAAAGCAGCAAGGTGTGCTTCAGAGCAGTACTAAGAATTCAGAGGGTAGCACAGTTACCTGTACTGGAGCCATCCGGTATAAAACCTTGACAGATCATGAACCAACCGGTATTGTCAGAGTTGAGGCCCATCCAGAAAATAACAGACCGCTGATTCAGATGCCATCAGAAGGTGAAGGGAGTGGATCATGGAAATGGAAAGGTCCTGAGAAAGGCAGCCTTCGGCAAGCATATGAGCTCAATGATCTCAATAGGGACTCTGAGAGCAGTGACTCCTTGAAAGACAGTTATGGGTCAGGTGACAGGAAAAGAAGTAACATAGATAACCCTGAGCATCACCATCATGGAATTACCACTATTAGAGTCACACCAGTTGAAGGAAGTGAAATTGGCTCTGAGACACTGTCCATTTCCTCTAGTCGGGACTCTACACTTCGAAGAAAAGGTAACATCATTTTAATCCCTGAACGAGGGTGCAGTCCAGAGAACACCAGAAACATCTTCTATAAAGGAACATCCCCCACAAGAGCATACAAAGAATGAAATCAGAAGTATCGGCTGATCCGTACCATCAAGAATTAAATACATTTTGATAAAGCTCCTGCTCTATTTGTTTTTGAGCTGATGTTAGAAATATCCTTGATGTGCCAAATTACTGATCATCAGCCTGACTCTTTTTTAATGTTGCTGATGTGTGGTGTGCATGAGTCTGTGCATATCATATAGTGGGGGGGAAAGCACAATGCAAGAACCTAACTAATGTGAAGAGCTTTCTTAGAACTTCAGACTCAAAATATTTATCTGAGGGTGATGATGTCAATCAAAAACAAGAGTCTTGAACAGACACTTTATTTCCTGAATGTGCCAACTTTTTTATTTTATTTATATTTACGTCCGAGGACAAATCAATTTTTCACAGCAAAGGCTGTATCAGTGTTGTATAATCACCTTTGCAGAGTTTGCACCAAAACTTTAATACAGGATGGTGCTGATTACAACTTTACATATTTTGAAAAATTTACATACCTGTTTAATTCTACAGACACATGATGTGTTGGTGTACAGTTACTTTAAAAGTAATGTCAATAATACTATGATGATGCTGGCTGCATTCATTTAGAGTAGGAAATATTTACAGCTTTGTTATAGTGGATCTGTCACATTAAAAGATTGCAAAGGTTTTGTGTAGTTCTTCAAAATGTCTACTGCAACAAAAAATATGTGGGTGACGCTCCATTAGAATGGAATATCTATCTGTTTTGAATAGTTTTGCTGCTGTTATTGCTCAACTTTTGTTTAAGTACAGGTGCTACTAATGAAGAGGCTGCTTCTTAGTGGGCTAACTTGTAGAACTGTTTTAAATATTGTTTTTAAAGGGGTCTTTTAAAAGTACTTACAGAAATTCTGATTCTACATTCTCACCACCTCACATTTTGTCTCTCTTTAAATCTTACATGTTTCTGTTAATTTTTTATTGGATAATGCTTGGCACTGATAATTGAACAATGAAAAATTGTGACCCACACAATTCGAAATTGCCACTGCCTGATCAGTTGCCAGCTACTGAGTAATTAGTGGTCTAGCTTACACTTAGAAGTAGTCGGTCAATTCACTTGCTTAGTTTGGCACATGTGACCCATACATTTCACTCCAGTCACAGTCATGTGAGTCCTTATTTATGATGCTTTGCTTTAAATTTGAAATGCCTTGGTATTAACAGTATTAGAGAGTGTTACATTGTGCCACAGCTATAACTGAGTTCCCTGAGTCAAACTCAGTAGGAGCCTCCTTCAAGCATGACTTCTTTTTAGTTAAAGGGGTGGAGTCCTTGTATCTGAGAGAACACAAATTAACTCTTAGGAGCATTGTTCTTATCAAGAAATGAAATTGCCTGTGTTAGAAGGAGTTTCTGAATGAGTGAACTAAAAAAGGAACAAACATTGCATTTTCCTAGATACACAGGAAATAAAAACATGGAAGGGATGTGGTTTAGTTAGACCTCCAGCTTTATTAACTTAACTCATCTGGGAATTATCTGGCAATAACTTGTCCAGGGCAGGTCATCATTCTTTTTTTCATTGTTTCTACATGGTGGAGAGCTGTCATCATGCTCCCATTCCTCAACATTTAGTCCCAGTGTATTCCTCTCCCTTTCCTACATGAGGATTAGAGGGCTGAGGAAAGATGTTGTTTGGATAGACATTTGTAGTCCCAAACAACTTTCCTCAGTTTCTTCAAAGAATGCCTTCCACAAAGTCCCATGCCAGTTTTAGGTATGAGGGAATGGGACCCCTAAGGAAGAATATAGCCTGGACAAGGAATATGTACAAAATCGCTACAGCTGGGAGCTAGTTCCCTGACCTACCACACTACCACAATGAGTCCCTAAGCCGCTATGAAGAAGGGGGGGGGGGGGGGGGGCGCCGCCGCCCCAGGCCA